TTAGCTCAATCCCTAGTGGACTGAACTGAGCGGCTAAGAGTGGCCCCGGTAGCGTAATAGGGAACGCAACCGCAAGTAAATGGAAGATACGGGTTCGAATCCCGCCGGTGGTGGTCCGACTTTTGCCCACAACTCAGCACTCATGTGGTAATCTGCTTTCACCAACTGTTGAAGTAGGCAAGCGATAACCATTGATGGAAGAGGTTGGTCCCGCGCGAAACTAGTCTCCCTGACACGCCCCTGCATCCGCAGTGAACGACTACTGTATAATCAACGTTGTGGAAAACACATTGAGAAGCGTATTTGGAACCTTGGAAGAGGCAACAAGTTTCCGATTATGTGTCCTGAACATAACACAGAAATATTATGGACGTCATGAAAAAAAAACGCTTTCAGCGCCAGCCAAATGTGTCACGGCACCACGAGATGTGTTACGACGGTCAGTATGTTGCTCGGCTACGATCAACACCAGCTGAGCCATCGCTGTTTTGGGGCCAATAATGTACAGCAACTGTTTTCACGTATGGTGTTTGTGCATAAAAATACCTCTGAACTTTGAGTAAACAATTTTTTTTACACTCTCAACAGCCTTTAAAACCATATCACAATTTAGAGGCTATAGAACAATCAAGTTTAAAACATAAGGAATATTCAAAACATGAAACAAGAACTTTTGGCGAACACCATGCAACGATTTTTGACCATCTGATCAGGGGGTACAGTACATCAGCATATTACGTGATGTAAACCACATGTAATTTCGATCATCTGAGAAGCGGATCTTTTTCGTATGCGATGTGTGCAGCTCCATACCAGTAGAAGTGCAGCACTCCCGCTGTGCAAAAAAAGGCAACGAAACTAGAGGCCTGTTGAAGCCTGGTGCTCTTTAAGATACTGCCCCCTCCCCTCACCTAACACGCGATACGAACGCTACAGCGCTGATCGCATTTATTGCTGCGAGGGAATACTTAACCATATGATTGGCCGAGTGACGCGCAGCGTGACTGCGGCACGAGTATTGCGTATCTAATCGCGAGCGAGACATAAAGAACGAGCTATTACAACTCTCTAACTTTTTTGAAGCTCACTTTCGAGAGGCTAGAGTTTTTCCGCAAGGAACATGCGCTCCGCACAAGAAGGCACCGTTCAGATTTCGCCAAGAAGGTGCGCTGTAATGCGCTGTAACGCGCAACAATTGCAACAGCGCTCCAAGGTACTGAGAGAGTATGGGGAGGGGAAGGGGAATATTTCTCAGCCACGCAGTCCGGTTTCGATCAGCAGTGGCCACTATTTCGGCGCTAATTGATTGCCCTCTGCTGCTGTGCTCACGTCTATAAGATTGAAGCGCTTTGCAACTGTAACGCGTCGACGCGCGTTCCAGCGCGTCGCCGCGAAGCCTGCAAGCTGCCAAGGAAGAAAAAAACAGTGTAAGTTTGCCTACAATGACGTTCCTTTCTATGTACGAAGTGAATGGCTTTCTGCAAGGTGAATGGGTCCGTGCTGCAGTAGCGTTATACTTTCTCCACTCAAAATTACACTAGAAGGGGGTTAAAGGGCTGTGATACCCGGGCGCCGTCCCCCTTCCCCGCCCTCGAGGCGCAGCGCATGCGTCGATACCAAAATCATGCAGGGAACACGCACTCGAAGACAGATAACAGACAGAGTCAGAAGTGGGAGGGCGCAGTCAAGTAGCGCATGTGCCTATAATTAGGCGTGTGGCAGCGCAGGCGGAGAGGATGTCACTACCCTTCAGTCCTACTAACGCAGCTACGGACCCATTCACCTCGCAAATGGCGAGGACAAGGCTTCACGGAGATAAATGTACAAATTGTGTTTAGGACTATCTCACAGATACTGCGGAGTGGGGCCAAAAATCAGAGCATTAGTCATTAATCCTAGCATGTTGTCCGTAGGCAAGAGAACCCTAGGATGGAATATGTTTGACAAGATGACTAGCATATGTACAGAAAAACACTCGAGACTCGAACCGTAGACGGAAATCATCACACAAAGCGGCACTAAATGCTTACAAACTTTCAATATAAAAGAAAATAGCTAAAAGAATGAGCAGACGATCACTCTAAAACTTCTGTTAAAAACCCATAAAGCACCGTGTTAGCATTAATGTAAGGAAAACTGTTTAAAAAGTGCAGTATAATGTAAAGCTTGACTTCTAAAAGTTATCAGCTGCTCTGAAAAAATGGTAAGTCTTAAAACAGCTAAAGTTCATCATTATCATCAATTCTCAAGTGTTTAACTGCTATGGAAGAAGGGGTTCGCTTAGCGATTTCCAAATCTGCCTTGGCTGGAACTCGTTTACAACCGGAACTTGAGAACACTTTCAACTCTTGAGGGAAATACTGAAATCCATGAAAAGTAAGGTTCGAATGCAGTGTTTGTAAGGTTCGAATACAGAGTTCAAAAAATGTTGAAATCAGGTCTTTCAAAAACCATACCTGTAGTGAGTCAACAATGCGCTGAACTAATTCATCGTCCTTTACGAGATCTTCTCTTCCCTGCGACTTGAGGTAGCCAATCGTACAAAGTATGACATGCCGTCGCTCCATTGGAAGAAATGGAACGAAATGATCGATTAAGTGGCTTGAAATCAATTCGCACAGTTTTAGTCCTCCTGAAAATCAGAGGTATTGTACAGCTTCAGACAATTTTAGAGAGCCCCTTAAAGACGAACGGTACACTCACATTCATGGATCCCGAGAATAGGTCCCCACCACTGCAGTAGCATGTCGCTTTCATCGCATAAAATTGTACACGAACGAGGCTGAGGTGCTGACACCCACCCCTGCCATATCCATACGTGGGAGTATATGTTGCGCCTGCGCTGCCACACAGCAAGTCACGCGCCTATAGCGAAACGCACTAGTTGTCTGCGTTTTGGTTGTACCGTACCGCTGCGTGGGCGTTTAATTGCGGAATCTTGATATCGGCGCAAGTGTTTCCGAGCATCGGAGTGAGCGGAGTGCTACTGCAGCTGCGAAACCCTTCACCTAGGCCAATGGCATGGACCGTCCTCGAAGGTTAGTGTACAGTTTGTCCTCTGAACTGGTCTACGGACAAGTGAAATTCCCTTATTGGCGCCAAATTTCTGCCTTTCTCTGCGCTCTCTTGCCTGAATGGCGCTTTGTGACCACTCTGACCTTTCACATTCCAACTTTTCACGCATACTAAGTGGCTCATCCACCCCGGTGTCCCTCCCTTCGAAAAAACTCATCTCCTGGCTCGCATCATGTTTTTTGTACCTCACGATGCCTTGGCAGTGCAGTCCCTTATTGCTCTGCGCTCTGGCCTATCGTGGCAGGACCCCCACCAAAAGTTTTAGTTGTCACGTAATCCTCTAAACTAGAGAGAATTTCAAACGTGTTCGTACCTGGCTCATTATACGCCGCCTGCATTAGCATCCTCTCGAAATTATCCAAAGTCAGATCCTCCCTAGGATTGCCAGATTGGTGATGACTTAGCGCCAAGTTTGCGATTAACTGTCCACCACGATTGCTGAAAACGCTGCTTACAACAACTACCTCAATTGAAATTTATCAAAATTGCACACATTAACAATTACCGAAATGAACGGAAACACTAGAGTCAAAAGAGGGTCGCTCCGGATGTGTGTTCAAGTAATTTCTTTGGCTAGACTCATTAAGGAAGAAACTTCAGCAAAAATCGTAAAATGCTCAAAAAGTGACGTGGCGGAGGTGGACACATAGCAAAGTGAGAATCTAACCACAAAATCGCTCAGTTCATCCAAAAGCCGGCCAGAAAATTGCCAGGTTCTATGACGGTAAGTCTGCCGAGTAATGTAAAAGCTTACCTTGTACTCTGCAATCTTGTCTTTATCATAAAAATCGGAACTGGCGACAATTTGGTGCACAAAATTGCTCCTCAGACCTTTTCTGAAATCACCTAATCAAAATAATGGATAGAAAAACTACGCGGTACGTTTTGGGCAATAAAGAAAATGTCTATAGAATCAAATAAGTTCTTCGAAAACATAATTATGCTTGCCTTTGTAACGATTTTCTTTCGATTACTTGAAATGTATTGCTATTATTTCAGCAACGTAGTTCTTTCCGGATCCAGTGAAACCATGGAACGACATTGCCAATGGCTTCTTGGGGTTCTCGTTAGTCCAATGAGCGCGTATGCTTCTCACGTGTACTCACTAAAGTGTTGTCCATGCACTAATCCGTAATCACGGTGCAGCTCTGAAATGATGAAATGGCTGTAAATATATGGAACCTGGCGTAACAATCAAAACCACTCAAAGCTTCGAGTAGTCAGGAATTAGCCCAGGGATTCCGACCCAACACCAGTGTCATCAACACAGTAAATCGTAAAAAGTAAATTTCAGGAAGGCGTCAATCGTCTACTGCGAGTAATTATGACAAATTAACAGGGCACGAGCTCATCGAGATACGTCGCGGAAGATTCTGGCGCTTTGAATTCCAGCTACACAGACTTGGATTTCAACTGAAGATCTACATAAGGATTTGCTTGTAGTCGAGCACGACAACAATACCTCTGTGGAACACGTAATGAAGGTTTTCAGGTTATTTTTTGCGAGCATGGAAAGTGAGGGACTGAGTGAAGACTGGTCGCACCTGTTCGAGATGTCATGCACATTCCACGTCCACTCAGAATAGTTCTGGCACTTTGAATATTTGCTCCTTACGATGACTTGGGACAGGCAACCGATGTGAATGAGAGTTTTTAACCTCAAGGGGAAGTCCGATACCAGTCGCTAGACTCCGAAGGGAGTCGAGGTTCTACACAGGAGCCGTTAAGAGACCTATAATACCTGATGAATAGCGAAAAATGTCGTGCCGTTTGCCGCTAAACTACCGCCAAATCTCCCTCTAAGCACTTAACGGACATAATGGTGAGAATATGAGAGCTTTTCATCCCCTATCCCTAAAACGACACATCGTATAACGGGATTGTACGCTCGTTTTCCTTTATAGTTCTTGAGGAAGTGTGCCGCACAAACGCGGTTCTTAGGAAACTGATCCTTTTTTCCTGCGTCTCGCTCTCGGGGCCGGCCAGACGGGAGAGCACGCTGCGGTCAGGCACGCAGAGTGACTCACCAACTTGAAGAACGGTCAGCCTGCTTTCAACGTGAGCAGGGTGATATTGAGAAAATTGGTGAAGGCTAAGCTATTCAAAAGAAAACGAAGATAGCGTTAGATATCAGCACACTTCTACACCAAAGACAGTGTAATACTTGACCAAAATGAAGTGTATCACGGTTATTCGATCACTTCACGTGGATAATTATGCGAACACAAGTGAGAAAAAAAAACTCAGAATTCATGGGAACTCATGGGAAAAGTAATTTTTTTTAGTTTTTTTTTCCGCTGAGCTTCTAGGCAGTCCAAGAAGATGCTAAAGAAATGTTTGACGAGTTCACGATGAGCTCGTGTCGATAGAAAACACTTCAGTGCTTCCCAGAGAAATTCGATAGAACACGTTTTGTTGTATTGCAAAAGATGCCCCACTTACGGGCGCAGTAGCGAAGACATGGAAATAAAAATTGGGAGAAAGCACTTTTGTCATCTAGAATACTCTTAACCCTTTCTTTGACTTCCCCAAAAGTCACTAGTAATTCACTGTAGTACCCTACGTTCCCATTGGTGAGCCACCGGTAATTTTGAAACAAGAACCAGCGATTACCGCTCAGTCGATCCGAGTGAGAGAGAGAGCGAGAGGGTAACGGCAGCCAGGGGAGATTTGCACTCTCGCCGCATAGAAAGGATTAGACTGTCAACAATGCTAGAAGCAGTACGCGTCGAACAGCTGGCCGTAGCTCATCACACAAGCAACGACATCCCGTGGACCCTTTCTCACACGCTCAACTTCTCTATATATGAAAATTAGGGCTCGTGTACACAGAGTATACATCGACGCCACCGTCCATAGTAAGCAGATCTCAGGAAAATAAAACTTGCTAAGAAAAACATAATGAAAATCAGAACTTACTATCAAACCGTGGATTCAAGTAAGGATGGTCGCAACATTCATACAGCCGACATTTGATTTTGTGCTGAAAGGTCCATAAGGCACCAGTTCCAAACGTCACTGCTGCACCTTCAAAGATGAACACAAAAATATAGAGTTACTCTAGATGAGAGATATAGAAGTGCACCTGTGAAGAGTGAGAATGGCTCGGATAGAACACCTCCCGTGAGATAGCTGACGATAATGAAAAGAAGCAGTGATATCCGCATAGAGTTCTATCGAAAAGCAAGAAATTTTTTCACATTTTCAGTACGAATGTGGACTTGAAGCAGGTTAGCAGATATTAAGTGTTTGGTAACACCAAGAAAACGTATACCCTTGAGGGCACAACCTTTATACACAGGTGAAATACACACAAGCGAATACAAACGGAATGAAAATGTAAGGTCGGAAATAGCACATTGTGAAAACGAACTGTTTTAAACACTGCTTGCCTTAATTATCCTTAGCATAGCATAACAATTAAATACATAAGCAGAGGGAAATTGTGAACTAAAAAAACAGAAACATAAGGCAGGTTTTAGTCGTCAGCAAGAGCTTGAGCAATTCGTAACTGAGACAATGCTCTCGAAGTACTTGACCGCGTTCCAGCTTCTCGATCCCATTCCCAGAGCACGAATGATCCTTGCTTGCTCTCGATATCAAACGTGTCATTACCTAAATTATACTGTGTATGCATCCACTAAACACTGCAACAGCAAAACAAATAAAATTTATTCTGAAGGCATGCAAGCTGTTACACGGGCTTAATGATAGGAATAAATGCCGGAAACTTAACACCTAACTGAGCGCTTCCCTACCGCACCAAAGTGTCGCGTATGAAATATTCATGCGCATCAGAACAACATAAAGAATAAAAGTATAAAGCTTGAGCCGTTACTTAAACGTTTTTTGGAATACGGAACCCATTATACTTCCATTCAGAATCATAGTAGCGCACTGAATAGGATATGGCAAATACGATGAACTGCGGGGCCAATCTATATACAGGTTAATATTTTTCCTCCAATACGAATCCGGCACCAGTTTACCTGGGGGTAGAAAGCTTGGTAGGCCTTTGCAGAAGCCTTTCTGACTCCCAAACCACGAACGTGCTAAAAGGACCACTTGCTAGACCAGCTGAGTACAGAGATTAGGGTACGTATAGATGGTTGTAGGCCCAAAAAGAGAGCTAACTTTTATTAGAAGATAAGAAGATAGTGACAGTTTGTAGGAGCTGACTGCTCCCAAAAATAGTGCAGTTAGTGAATGGGCAACTACGAATCTGCGCGAAGGTCACCAATATACCACATTGCTGTGATTCTAAACTAGCAATGCTTCAAAAAAATACTGCTGAAATCTTAGGCAAGATCTCACTCCTAATATTACAAACTTGCTACCATAACGTTTC